TTCTTTGGGTATTTCGACCCGGTAAGCAAACCCTGGGAGCTAGCTCTTCACGAGCTGCTCCTAGCTCTTCTCGTTCTCCTCCTCCTCCTCCGGCACCGGCCGCGGACGATGATCCTGAGTTTCAACAACGTATGCAAGATATCGACGATCATGTTCCAGATGATAAGCCTGCACGGCAAGAAGATCAAATGCCACCATATTTTTGATTCTTCTTGGAGTCGTTTGATCTGAGGTTTGCCTCCATGGAGTCTCAGATTACTGAGTTTTAGCGGGAGATGCGTGAACGTATGGACGCGCTCACTCTTGAAGTTCGAGTTCATTATCCTCCTCCTCCCGGCCCTTCTATGGATTAGACCTTTTCCATGCTTTCTTGTTTTTAAAACTTGGATTGATTTTGATGTTTCTGGATTGTTTATTTTGGATTGTTTAATGTTTGAATTTGTTATGGTTTGGATGATTGGATTTTGAACTTAATATATATATATATTTGGTTTGGTTGAATTTTCTTATTTTTGCATCATTAGATATATATGACCAATTATGCCATTTCAAATTTGTTTATGAATATTGAATATGGAACAAATGGCTAATCTCTCTTTTGATTGTGATCTTAGCAGCTTAAGCTATATATATTTAATCAATTGGCTATGTTTTTCAAAACCTTGTTTACAAACGTTTTAAAAATCTTTTTGATTTAACAAAAAGGGGGAGAAATGTTAAGTAATCCTCAAGTGGTCTACATGTTCGCCGATGGAGTTACTGTATACCACGATATCGTCCAAGTACACCACCATGAACTGGTCCAAGTACGGTTGGAAGAGCTTGTTCATGAGCGTGCAAAACGTCGCCGGTGCATTGGTTAGACCAAAGGGCATGACCAACCACTCGTACGATCCGTATCGGGTGATGCATGCAAATGTTTTAAAAGGGAGAAGTGTTATAGTAAGGGGGATTATAGTAAGGGGGAGTAATTTTTTTAAAATTGATTTCAAATTTTTAGAAAATCTTAAAATAACACAAATGTTTTGTTATATCAAAAAGGGGGAGATTGTTGAAAACATTTTTGTGTTTCGATATAACAAATTAAGTTTAAATGAATTTTAAGATTTTACAAATGATTTTCTAAGTATATTTGATTTAATTAATCGAATATCAAATTATTACTCCAAGTCTTTCAAGTTCAAATTCAAACCTTACTAAATGTGTAAAATTGTGTTTTATACTTAATATATTTTTGAAACAAAATTTCACTAAGTATTTTGAACCAAAATCAAGCCTAAAATCAATTTTTCAGAGTGATGCACCGATGCACCAATCCATGCATTGATGCACCATGAATTAAATTGAACATCGAATGCATTTCATGCATCGATGCACATACCATGCATCGATGCACTGAGGATTTTATGAAAACATCGAATGCATTTGATGCATCGATGCACCAGCCATGCATCGATGCACTCTGGCTATTTTGAAACATCGAATGCACTTGATGCATCGATGCACTCTTACTCCACCGATGCACTAAGGGTCCAATGGTCAAAATATTTGAATTTTACACTGATGCACCATGGGTATGCATCGATGCACTGACGCTTCCAACTGAATTTATTAATTATTTTCACACTTAAACGGCTCTATTGACTCCACTAAGCATCCCCAACGTTCAGAATCATTTGAAGGTGTATTTAAACAAGTTCTGAAGCCATTGATCAACAACAAGAAAGAAGAAATCATAGAGAAACAAGAGAGAAAGCATCAAACATCAAGTTTGTGCAAATCAAGCCAAATTTCCTTTCAATATTCATTTTTCTTTTAAGAATACAATTTGTGCTCAATTGTAATTATCTTTGAGTGTTCTTATCTTGTTCTAGAATTGTGCAAACATATTGCCTTGTGAGGTTTTCATTGTAAGTTTGCAAATTTGTGTATTTCTCTTTGAAAAAGAGTGAGCTAAAGAATTGGGGTATAATTCTTGAGGGAGTTGTAAGGTTACTATTTGTCCTCAAAAGAAAGAACAAATTAGTGAATTTGTTTGAAAATCCTTAGTGTGGATAGTTAAGGTAGTGGACGTAGACTTTGGTTGAGAAAGTCGAACCACTCTAAATCGTTGTGCAAATCTTTTCAATTTTCTGCAGAAGCTTCCACCAAAATTTTAATTGCCAATTCACCCCCCTCTTGGCCGATTCCGTCGATCGATTAACTCAACACTTGTGTCTTCACATTCCCTTCCACGTTAAGCCGTGTTGTTCCCTTACGTGCACTAAACCCATGTTCTTGTGCGAATCCCTTGTAAAAGTACCAAGCTTGATAACGTGAACAGAAGAGCTGACCGACCAACCAATCTGTCAGATTCATCAACATTATGTACTTCATGGCATTCCTCGGTTGGCTTAACATTGTCTGCATCAGTATGATCCATGGCAAAAATTTTGTTGTGCAAGTTCAATGGTCCCAGAGTTGATGGAGATGTAAGCAAAGGTTCATTGAACATGTTTCAGTCGTGTTACTTTCAATCGGATGTGGTATTGGTAGTGGTAGTTAAAGAGTGGGTACAACATTAAATTCGCAGTACATATTTAGGTATGTACAATAACTACCTAAATATGTGTCGATACATTTTCTACAAGTATCGACCCAAAAAACATCAAAACCAATAATTATAATGTAATAGGTAAATTAACAATGTAACCAGTATAAATATACCGGTTAATTAGAAAACATGTCAACATAATGTATCGACACTTGTGGAATTTGTGTCGATACTTATTGTCCAGGATGAATGCCCAAACGAGGTGCACGCATAAAGTGTCGATATATTTATTAAAAGTATCGATCCCAAAAACATCGAAACCGATAATTATAATGTATTAGGTAAATTTACAATGTAACCGATAAAAATACACCGATTTTATGCTTAAATAGGTTAGCATAAAGTATTGACACTTGTTAATTTGTGCCGATACTTTCGGTCCAGAATGAATGCCAAAAAGGGTGCAACCATAAAGTGTCGATACATTTACAAAAAGTATCGATTCCCGGAAACATCGAAACCCATAAGTATAATGTAATAGGTAAATTTTCAATGTAACCGGTTTTATGAGAGAATAGGTCTAAATCACGTATAGACACTTTGTTAGTGTGTGTCGATACTTTTTTCCAGAATGAAATATGAATGCCCAACGAGGTGCAAGCATAAAGTTTCGATACATTTAAAATTGTATCGATCTAAAAAACATCGAAACCGATAATAATAATGTAATAGGTAAATTTTCAATGTTACCGGTATAAATATACCGGTTTACTTCGAAAATAGGTCAATATAAGCGCTACCTATTACATTATATAAGAGCTACCTAATATGTTATTGTACTTGATAATATTTCCGGTTAAATACCTATTTTATTATATAAGCGCTACCTATTATATTATATAAGCGCTACCTAATATGTTATTGTACTTGATAATATTTCCGGTTAAATGATATAACATTACCGGTTAAATGATATAACATTACCGATCAAAATTTTAACAGATCACACCATTTTTTAGCCCTTTTTTAACCGCCGCACAGCCCTCATTCACATAGAAAATTCCATCACATCTAAAAAATATCAGGCGTCAGCCACCAACTTTAATTATGCATATCCTTTTTTTAATCTTTTATTTGAAGCTACTTTTTTTATTAAACCAGAACCTCACCTTCAAGCCTACTAACCGTCGGTGTTCATCCCCCTACGCCTACGAACTGGAAAGTTTGCCATTATCACTAAGGCACAGTTGTTGGGCCTTAATCTCTATCGATCAACTCTGCTGAATACTTTATTTTTTGAGACCCTTTACTGTTTCTTCTCTTCTTCTTTTATTAATACCCTAAACCCCAAACCTTATAACTAAAAAGTACATCAAATAAATTTAGGATGTTTCTAAACCTGCCTTAAACATATCTAAATCAGCAATTGTTGAAGTTTTATGTCCTAAGTGAAGTAATTTATATAATTACTGAAACCACTTGAATTGAAATGAAATAAATAAATTTTTTATATGTCTATCTATTTACTTTGTTCGTGTACAGTATCCTTAAACTTGATATTGCATGTGAAATTACTAAAGTGATAACAAAATATTGACTCATTGATTGTATATGGTTTAATTGAATATAAACTATATTATAAGGTTGATTATAAATATAAATGCAATAAGTCAACGATTTGTTTTTTCAAGTATGATAGATCAGAACCTAAAATGATTACGTTAAGAACATTAGACACCTACATTGAACGAAAAATATTTTAGACACTTAAAGTGAACGAAGAGTATATTTGACGACTTACTTTAGTATTTAATATCAATTATTAATATATATAATTTTTTACGTTTATTGATATAATATAACGTACCAAACTTTGTTTATCAATATAATATCACGTACCCAAATTTATTATTCCAATTGCTTCAGTGTGCTCTCTGACGATAGCTTCGTAGGCATTCACAGTGATGCAAACTCTTATTTTCACTCTTATCTATGTTTATTATAGCTGTTGCGCTCTCGTTCCTTGATCTACAGCATTGCTCCAACTGTTCTTCCTACCACCACTGCTACTAACACAAGTTACCTTGTATCCATTGGAAGTTGACTTGTGATTAACAACATTTGACACAAATAATTTAAAGTGCCAACAAGAAAACACTGCATTGCACACAAGAAAAACAGGAGAGGACTAGTGGGTGTCTTAGCCAAAAATCATTGAGAGAACAATTGAAGAACCTATAGTGATAAATTAGAATGATGTGGTAATCAATGACAAATAAAGAATCGGTTAAAGGCTCACTTTGCTTGAAGTCAATGTTGGACTATGAATGTCATATTCATCAGTCTGAGGATCAAATGTTGCAGTAGTCTCAAGCCCTTGGACATTGGATCCATGACCAAGTTCAGTTTGTGCATAGCATCCAATTATTTGCATCTTGTATGCCATGGGCAGCCACTTCGCCTGCTACTCATGTGTTCCGTGACCTTTGATAGCAGGAATAAACATTCCCTGCAAAGAAAATATACGCTAGTAGGTACAAAAAAACTTTCAATCCCTTTTTCTATGTATTTCAAAACCTGATGAGCACATACTATCTTTTTATATTATATTTGGCAAACTAATTAAGTTAATTAGGGTATGTGTTTTCCAAACATTTATAAACTATTAGCATTTTAAGTGGCATATACAGTTCTTGAAATTTTGTGAAGCTTAGAAATAGGAAAAGAAAAACAGAACGTACCCAGTGCAGATCTGTGAAAGTATGCTGATCCACATAAGACCTTAACATATTGTCTTCTTCCTCTGTTATAATAAGACTTTTATATTAATCAAATAGCTAAGTCAAAAATCAATTTAGAGGAAGAGAAAACAAGTTGAAAACAAACCCGGGAGACGAAGGTCAATTATCCGCTTCCATGCATGAGCAGCTTTTCTCGAAGTATCTTTAAACAAGTCCTAAACAAGTCCTTCCTAGTTAGCATAGTTCTGTTATCCTTTCGAAAGACCTTAAGAAAATTGCAGCACGATTACTTAATTATTAAATGATAAGATTAAAACTTCAAAATGAAAACTGATTTTAATAATTTAGTTTAGGTCACTGAAGAATGAAAAAAATACAGATACTAAATTTTGCTTTTACAGTTTCGTCATGAGAAACAAACAGTGAAACATATGACTTCAAAGAAAGACTAAAAACACGCAGTATGAGTGGAAAACAGGCCATAAAAGAATATTTAAGAAGTATTTTTAAAACCCATTGACAAGAAAGTTTAGTTCCATTATTTTGCTATATGTTCTCGGGAAACAAACAAAACAAAAATTAGCTGAGAAACTGACCGGTGGAACGATAATATATTTCTGATAGACTGGTACTAGAATTTATGTCAAAATTCTACTAAGAATTTAAGTTCCATCCTGCAATTTACTCGAAACCAAACAAAGAGGAAACTGAAAAATATGAATCTAGGTCACTAGGCTAGCCCATTATTTTCTTGATATGATCTCTGTTAGCCAGTCTGCTTTTGTTAAGGGCATGAGTATTACTGATAACACTTTACTTGCACAAGAAATTGTTCTCCTAGGTGTGAAATTAAGATAGACCTGCAGAAAGCATTTGATTCTATTAACTGAGATTTTTTGCTCAATGTCCTTGGAGCTGTGGGTTTGCCTGCTAGATTTTGTGATTGGATTAGAGCTTGTGTGACAACCCCTAGTTATTTAATAGCTTTAAATGGGAGTCTAGTGGGATACTTCAAAGGTGCAAGGGGTGTTAGGCAAGGAGACTTACTGTCTCCTTACCTCTTTGTATTGGTCATGAATGTTCTCTCCAGATTACTGGATGCTGCAGCTAGGAATGGTATCTTCAAATATCACCCTAGATGTAAAAAGATTTCCCTCACCCACCTATGTTTTGCTGATGACTTCTTGTTGTTCTGTTATGGTTCTTTGGATTCAGTGATGGTGGTGGTTAGTGTTCTGAATAAATTTTATGAGATGTCTGGTCTAAAGCTCTGTAACATCCCAAATCAGGGTCAGTGACTAAATTGCAAATTTTGGAAACTGTGTGCTCAATTTTGAAATAAGTTAAAAGTGTTGGGATTTAAGTAAAGAATTTTGATGATGGATTGAATAGCATAGATGGATAATTAAAGGGGTAATTTAGTCTTTTCAGATTAAAGGATATTTTGTATTTCCTTTAAATACAGGTGATATACGTGGGTTTTGGGAGAGTTCTGGAAGCCTTCTTCTTGCTCTCTTCTTCTTCTTCTCGTAGCTCCAGCTTAAAGGTAAGTGGGTCTTTAGTTGGTTAATTCTTTCGTTTTAAAGCTTGTTTTGATTCTTGGGATATTAAGAAAGATTAAGGAAAGCTTTAGGTGGCTTAAACCTCAAAGATTAACAAGTTATGAGAAATTAAGAAAAATGAGTTTTTAAGTGAATTTTTGATATGGAAGGAGATAGTAGATTGTGAAGTTGAATTTGACTTGTCAAGGGTTAAATTAAGAGATATGAAGTGATAGAATGGGTTTTAGAACATGTTGGAAATTTAGTGTGATTCTTGAATGCCATGTAAATGATAGAATTTTGAGTTGAAAGAAGTGATTATGGAGTAGAAATGAGTTTAAGTATGTGTATGAAAGTTAGGAATATTAAAGGGAATGAAGTATGATGGGTTGAGCTGAAAATGAAGGATTTTCGAGCTCAAAATATGATTTCTGGGCAAGGGGAATCGGTACCCATTCAAGGGGAACCGATACCCCTTCAAACGAACAAGAATTTCCAGTATGTCATGGGGGAACCGATACCCCCATAGGGGGGAACCGATTCCCCCTAAAGGAAAATTGGGAATATGGGTTTAATAAGTTCGTTTAAGTTGCTAGTATCCAATTACAAGGTGTAGGTATCTAATGATTGTCTCGAAATGTACATTTATGTAGATTCTACGCATAAAGAAATTCGGAACGTTTGGCAAGTAAGATCGATCAAGGGAAAGATAAGAGATTGGAATTGACTAGTGAGGCCAGGTGAGTGCATATTAGTTAGTTTATGGTGCTAAATGGAAACAAGACTTGCGACAAGTCTATTTCCTATGTTAGAATGCATGAATATATGATTATACGTATATGAATGACATGAATTGTATGTATGCATGATTATATGTGTTGACATGCTTTTGAATGTAATGTTATGAGAAGTATGTGCTATGTAATGTATATATATAAACATATGTGAAACTGAACTATGTGACTGCATGAGAAAGATATGAGCCATATGACATGATATAGGTGAACATGAGAAAACAAAGTATGAGATATAAACTATGTGATCATAGTAAAATATAATTATATTATTATATGATAAGTGAAATAAGCTGGATAATATTGATCTATAGGATGAAGTGAGAATAGTACACTAACTAGGAGATTTTAACATAAATGATAAGATGAACATATAAGATAAGCTAGATGGGAAAGATTCATATGTTTAAATAAAACTATAACACATGGGTTGTATGATAGAAATTTATGAAGCTATATGAGAAGATTATAGGAGTTATATGAAATTGAATTAAGTAAACAGATTAGATTATATATATATATATATATATAGAAATAATAGAAGTGAGATGTGTTTATAAGTCTGCCCTAAATGAATATGAATATGAATTATAAGAGTGCTATATGATTTATATTAAGATAAATCTTGAGGATATATATATATATATATAGATATGAAATGAAATGAAATGAGTTATATGAATACATAATTATGTGATGAAATGGTGGATTACCTGAACATGTGAATATATATAGGTCTAAGAGAAGGCATGAGATTAAGATATAAGCAATGTGACTATAAGTATATATATGTGCTCTAAGTGATATGACTTATAGGTATTTCTATTATAATGTTACATAATATGTTATGTATGTTAAATGAATTATGTGATGGTATAAGAATTGATAGGAAATATATATGTGAAAACAAGTATATGTTATGAGACAAAACCTATGATTATAAGCTACGTGAAAGTGTTCCTATCTGTTATATGAAGTATATGATCATATGTGAACAAGATATGATGAGTATATGTACATGAATAAAGGTGATTGGGTGAGAAATGATAGAAATTATATGAAAACATGACATATGTGACATGTGAATTATATGGAAATGATCTACGTGTAAGTGAACTACGTGATTATGTGATCATATGAAAAGAAGCTATGTGATAAGTGATATGTGAAAGTGAATTACGAGTTTATGTGAATATTTGAAATGAAATAAATGATAACGCCCATGTTATGTGTCATGAGAGCTAGGGGTATAGTTGGCATGCCAAGAGTCGAGGGTCTACGCGGTTCTTCGGGACATATGTATATTCTTTGGAACATGTGTGAAGTCTGGAAAGACACATACTTGATCCCTAGCATATGTATATGATTCTTAAAGAATTCTATGTGGTCCTTATGGACATCATTAAATGGCACTACGGTGCAATTCTACGCGGTTCTTCGGGATATATGTATATTCTTTGGAACATGTGTGAAGTCTGGAAAGACACATACTTGATCCCTAGCATATGTATATGATTCTTAAAGAATTCTATGTGGTCCTTATGGACATCATTATATGGCACTACGGTGCAATTCTACGCGGTTCTTCGGGACATATGTATATTCTTTGGAACATGTGTGAAGTCTGGAAAGACACATACTTGATCCCTAGCATATGTATATGATTCTTAAAGAATTCTATGTGGTCCTTATGGACATCATTATATGGCACTACGATGCAATTCTACGGGGCACTTCGGTGCATTTATACGAGCTGTGGTGACAGCATAGTGCACAACCTCTATAGACTCACATATCGATAGTTCTCACATATGTACATGGGCTAATCCAGAGATATGAATAAGTATAAGTTAGTGGTATGATAAATGCTATAGAAATGATATGATGTTGTGTGTGTATAGTGTTTGATTGAAAAAGTATGTGATTATATGATAAACTGTTGATGATGAATTATGTGTATGTATGTATTTACTGTAATTAATCTGATATGATTTTATACGATATGAAAAATGCATGGAATTGCTATAACATGATAGAACAGAACATGCATGTATCAATATATGTTTTAAAGTGCATTATAAGTTGTTATGCCTCACTAAGTCTTCGACTTAGCGTGTGATTGTTTCACACGTAGGTTTCGAGAAGAGTAAGGAGGGATGCGAAGCAAGACAAGTCAGTTTTCCTTACCAAAAGGTCAGATCAGAAATATTTGACAAAGTATGTATTTGGTTATGTATAAAGTGTTGGCATGTAATAAGTCATTAAGTACGAGCACTCTGATAAAGTCTTTATTTTGATTTAAATAAAGTTTTAAATTTCCCGGGATTTTTCTTAAGAGTCAAGGTTTGAAAAGTCAATGTGACACTTCGGACTCGTATTCGGGTCGGATACGGGTCGGGGGTGTTACAAGCTCAATGCTTCAAAGACCGAGATTTATGCTTGTGGGGTGAATGATTGTGTTTTTGAGCAGATTAAGAGGGAAATAGGGTTTAGAATTGGCCAACTCCTAGTAAGATATTTGGGGTGCCCCTTGTAACTCGCAAGCTTTCAGGGATAGATTGTTCTGCTCTTATGGTGAGAATTAGAGACAAGTTGAAGAAGTGGTCAAGTAGAAAGTTAATCTTTGGGGGAAGGTTGCAGCTTATCAAGACTGTTTTTTTAGCATTTTTAATTACTAGAGCATGCAACTTATTTTGCCAAAGGGTGTGATACAGGATATTGAACGGTTGTGCATGCGCTTCTTTTGGAAAGGAAATGACACCTCGGCTAGGGGTGCTAGAGTCAATTGGACTAAAATTTGTTCCCTGAGATCGGAGGGAGGCTTAGAGCTTAGAAGTCTGATTGGTTGGAATACGACATGTTGTCTTATGCTTCTTAAGATCATCTTAGCTGATAAGGGCTCTTTGTGGATTGCCTGGATCAAAGCTTATTGCTTCAAGCAGTAGGATTACTGGAGTGTTGGTAACAGACCTTACTTCAGTTGGATTCTCATAAAGCTGATCAAGATGAGTTGGCAAGCCAATGTTCTATTTGTTGCTCATGTAATTTGGTCACAGGTTAAAGATGGGTGGATATGGGATATAATTTGGGATAGAAGGGAAAAGGTTGATTGGCATCGCCTAGTCTGGTTTCCTTCTCATGTTCCTAAGTTTTCTTTGATCACGTGGATGGTTATCCTATACAGGTTGCCTACTAAGGACAGTCTAACTCGATTTGGAGTGGTGGCAGATACCGACTGTGGGCTGTGTAGGAGTGGACTAGAATCCAGGAACCACCTGTTTTGGGACTGCCCTTATTCGAGAGCAATCTGGGATTCTCTCTTGCTTGCTTGTGGGTTACAGTTACAAGGATTAAGTTGGGAGGATTATCTCTGCTGGATGATTAATAACAGGAAAGGCAAGTCCTTGCATATTCATGTTCTAAATTTGGCATGGACTTGATTCGTTTATTTTACATGGGAGGAGCGAAATCATCGGATTTTTAGAGGATTGCCACGTTCGACGGATACAATTGTAAATATCATAAAAGGAGCAGTTAGGAATAAATTGTATAGGCATAGAATGAATAGAGCAGATAATGTAAATAGGCAGCTTTGTATTGATTGGGTTCCCCCGTTTGAAGCTCCCATGGCCGCACGTTTCTCACCCACAACAGCTCGCATCTTCCGGCTCAAAGATCTCGGCCATCATCAACAAACAACAACCCACACACATTAGATTTCTAGTGAGATTAGAAGTCTAAAAATAGATTTTTAACACTATAAATACAATGTAATCCATACGGGTTTTCACGGTTGATAGTACGATTACACAGAGAAAAACGTGGAACCAAAATCAGAGGACGGGAAAACAATTTGGAAAAATCGAGGGAAGAAAAGGACAAAAAATAAGCATGGATGATCCAAAGCCAGTATCTAAAAGTACGAGGAGTGGCAGAGCATTTTTATTGCAAATCCAGTTTCTCTACACGCAAAACATGGGAGATGTAACAACTTTTGACTTATTCTTTTTATTTCATTTTTTTTATTTATTTACTTTATATATATTTTCATTTTCTCCTAATTTTAATATTTTCTATTTCTTTTTACATTATTATATATATATATTTATTTTTTAATTTTGTTTATTAATATTATTATATTAATATTTTTTATTATTCTTTTCTCATGTTTATTTTCATTTTTACAATCCATCACTTTTGACTTTTTAGGGATATTTTCGATCGATCAAAGGTAATTAATTTGAATTGAATTTTTAAATTTCAATTTAAATTTTTATTTTCACGATTAAGACAACCGACGAATTAATTGGTACCGAAAGGGCGGTTCAAGGGTGTTAATCCTTCCTTGACCGTAACCGACTCCCGAGCCCGACACATTTATGATAAATGCAGATCATGTAAGATGGTGTCCGGTCCACCTAAATGTTTTTTTAAAGTGATTGGTGGCGACTCTAACCCAATCAATTCCAGTCGAAGCCCAATTCCGGGTCTAACCGAAAGACGACTGCGACAGCTTGACGACTCTACTGGGGAATTGTTTTTTAATGGGGGTAGTGGCCGAGAATTATGGAGAGGTGGGTGGTGCATGTAATTGAGATAATGGTGGGTAGTTGGGCCTGCAAAAAATAAAATTAAAAAAATATTAATAATAATATTAATAAATAAATAAATAATATAATATAATATTTTTGTAGGCCCGGATAAAAACCCTAAATCTCTTCCCACACGCAGAAAGTGAGCCAGGAACCAAAAGCCCAAACCATTCAACCGAAAGCCCCACAGCCTACAAAATCCATAAGCCTGCGGCCTGCACATGACTTAAATCCTTCTGTATTAAATACTGTGGGATTTTGCTCTACCCCATACAAAATATCAACGCCATTTTCCTTTTTCTTCGCCTTCAGAGCTGGGATATGGGAGCGGATAGAGATAGGAAGAGAGATAATGAAATAGATAGGAGCAGGGACCATAACACCATCAACACCATTTTCCTCTTCTTCGCCTTCAGAGCTGGGATATGGAAGCGATAGAGATAGGTAGAGCGATAAGGAAAGAGATTGAAGCAGGGAACATAACACCACTACTGACAGAGAAGCGGGAAAGGTAATTTTACAGATTGGAGCGATAAGGGAAGTTTTGAGCCAAAGGGTAGTTTCAGATTTTGGTGATAAACTTTTTTTTGCCTTGCTTGTACTTGCGCTCGAGTTCTTTTCATGCTGGACAGGTAATTCGTTTTTTCCTTTGAATTTTATGTCAGTTTTTATGGATACCCAATTCGTTTTTCCTTCGGAATTTGTAAGTGAAAGCCAAACCCATTAAACCTTGGTGTTTGATTACTGACATTGTTTGATATTTCAAGAAATAAACTGCATACAAGAATGAGCATACAATTGTTTTGTCTGTTCACTAGAATTGCGTTGCTAAATTCATGCATTGCAATTCTTCTGGGGCTCATCTTCTAGTGCTATATTTATGTATTGAATCTTGGCTTGAAAACATTTCTGCCTGTGAACTGCACTAGAATTCAGTCAGGTTTCTCATGGACTGAAAAAGATTCATGCTGTATGCAGTCAGTTACATTCCATTATTTGTTGCTAGCATTCTTGTTCAATCCACTTCGCGATGTTGTTGTGGAACATTTAACTCACTACCTATTGGATATATCTGCAACTAAATATCCTGATTGCTGTTCGAGTTTGAATATTTGGAATAAATCCGATTACCGGAAGCTGTTTACACCTATCAGTCGATCAAGTGATGAATCACTGTTATCTTAGATTCTATTGAATCAATTTCAGCTATACATCAACCACTCAACTGGTTTCTCATTTGCAGCTTTTTTGTTTACTTTCAAACGAATTGTGTAGAGAAGCGGTATGTTAGTTTTCAGTAATCTCTTATTAAATATATTGTGGACATGTTTTACATTTTGCCAAAGCAAATGGTTTTTGATAAGTGGTTAATTGCTTCGCCCACAACTTGGTATAAGGAATAGATGGAAAAACAGCAGGGCTATGCGGTGATGAAGATGGATAGGTGAGTGAGAAGGTCGATGAGGATGAACAAGTTACAGTTCCAGGCAAGATTGAGCCATGGTGAAAGCTTCGCAAGATGTTGAAATATGTTACGTTTGTTCATCAAGCTTGAAGGAGAGGGAAGATCTGCTGCATACTTGTTCCTTTCTACGTTTACATCTGTTAACGGGTGTCTCAACCAATGTAGTTAAATGCATTCAGATATATGTAAAATTGTATAAAGAGATATATAAAGAAGCATTGCATACTTGTCCTACTAAAGATATCACTTTGGAAAATGTTGATGAAGCCAAGCCTGAGAAGGATGTTGAGATTGATGCATCGAGTCATGCCAGTAAAACACCTGAGTCGGAAGGTAATGGTTCTTTGTTTATTTTTCTTGGTACTTATCATTTTTGAGGCTTAACTATATATTTGATACCTAAACTAGGCACCTTTTCCCAAGTTGCTACCTAAAGAAGTTTTGCTCCCAAGTTGGTACCTAAAGAAGTTTTGCTCCCAAGCTGCTACCGAACTTTAGTTCCATGCACTATTTTGGTACTTTTAACAATCTTTTTTAGAAAAAGGTTTTTTTTAAACACACACATGATGTCGCCATCATTGACACGGTACAATCTTATGTTGGCACGCCTTTATAGCTTCATTATTTACCTTTAACGAGGGTGATATCTCAATTTCCCAGCGATGATTGACTTTCTCCGATGATCGTTTTCACCCCTCGACAATGAAAATGATTGAATTTAAGTATCTATCTTTCTCTTGTTTTTTATTGTTTTCTTTATTTATTTCAATTTATTTTTTTTGAAGTGTTTGGATCATATATTGAATTCCACCTTACCTAATTGCATGTTGTCTTATTTTTTTTTCTGTCATTATTTTTTATTCTTGTTGAAAATGTGTGATGTGAGTGTTTGAGTGTACCATTCAAAATTTGAATAGACATAATGTGTGACATTGAGTCATCGAAGCAACCCTAATTTTAAAAATTTGTTTATTTTCTTTTCAAAACATACGATATGGTATCGGAATAAAAATACATGATAGTTATAAAAATATTTTATAAATTAAAACTCTGTGACACATAATTTAAAACTAAAATAGTACAAACTAAGAGTTATAAATCTGAATACAATAATTATGGTCATATGAATACATATACCTTAAAGTTACATTACAATACTAAATTTTTTAATTAGGATTTATCTAAATTATATTTTTTTACAATTATAAATTAGGATATTTTATAAATTATTATTTATTTAAGTTTGATTTTTCTAAAAATAATATTTTTTAATTATGAAATATTTTAATTAATAATATATTTTTAAAATCTTTTAAAATCAAGGGTTTTTTTAATTAGAGAAATTTTTTAAAATTAATGGTCGATATTTATTTAAATTAGGATGTTTATTTAAATTAGTATTTAATTAAATTACTTTTTTTTAAAATATAATCATTCTTTTAATTACAATTTTAATAAATTAAAATTTTTAATTTTTAAATTAAGGTTGAAAAGATGCAACTAATTAGTTACATTTTTCTAAAATGAATTTTGCGTTAAATATTTATTCCACAGTCAATTATCAAAACATTAAATCACTTGAAAAAGTTCATCTACGTAGAATGGATCTCACGGTCTAAGTAACGTAAGGTTGTTACACGTATTTTGTATAACATAATTTTTTTTAAATAAATCTGTCGGGGTTTTATTTTAAATAAAAACGCTCTCTCTTTCTATCTGACCATCTCTGTCTGTCTGTACTTTTTTTTAATCTCTCCCTCTAAAAATCAATCATTTTTTAACCCCTTTCATTTTTTTCTCTAGAATTTTTAGTCATCTTTTTTTGTTCTTCTATAGATTGAATGGTGGCTTACGAAATCGAACGTGGTGGACGGATCTGAGATTGAATTAGATCGGGTAAACAGGTGAATCGCGATCGAAGGGAATTAGGGTTTTGGATTTGAGATTCAGGAAAGTTAGGGTTTGATTTTGGGGGATTTTTTAGCACATGGTGAAAGGTAGGTTTTTGGGCGGATCTAGGGTTCGGAATCAGTGAAAGGAAGGGGAGGAAATTGAAGATAGAAGTAAGGGGGTGGGGGTTGATGGTACTCGAAGAGGAAAATGCAAGGCTATGCATGGACGGAGAGGAGGTGAAGAGAGGAAAAAGGCACGGCACATGTGGACACTCCCTACACGTGCAACGGCTGTTCTGAGTGGTGATGGTGGTGCTTCTCTCTCTTCTTCTTCTTCTTCTTCCTCATCTACCGTTAATTTCTTTTCAAAGGTATACCTTTTTAAAACATTTTCTTGAGCTTTGATTTAATTTCGTTTGATTCTATCATGGTTTCTTTTATTTTCTAGTGTTTTCTCTCTGTTTGCTGTTGTTTTGTTCGGTCGGGTGAGCTGATAAGAGATGTTTTGTTTGATTGATTTGGAGGAAATGAAGTGGTTCACTTTTTCCTTTTGGGAATTTTGAGATGGTGGCTTAACTGATGGTGGAAAGTGTCGAATTACTTCTGATTTTCTTGGATTTTGTTGCCTTTGCTTTGAATTAGCTGGAGCATTGATTAGTATGAAGCCATTTAACTTTTCATCTTTGGGTGGATTGTTTGGCTGAGGTGAAAGTGTAAAATTAGAGTCTGTTTCCATGAGCCAATTTACATTTAAAAAAAAATCTTTGCGTGCAATACCAGAATGGTTTAGTTATCTTTCAATACACTACGAACTATTCTACAGATGATATGGTGCTTCCATTGATTTGTCTGAAATTTATAATTGTGGACTTCGAGGAGTAGATGCTTAGCATGCAATGAGGTGTTTCTTATTTATCCAATCTGAAGGAATTTCCGGACAGAAGATGTGTTTGGGAGATAATAGATATATTGAATACACTGTAGATCAATGTATATGTGCCGAATTATTGGAGTTTGCCTACAATCAAGGAGTGATAAGGAGAAGTAATCACCAGCGTTATTGTTTTTCAGAATCTTAGGAAAATTTTCTGAAGTTAGGACAGCTTGAATCTTGAAACTTGTCAGTAAGGAACTAGTTTCTGGTTCATCATTTTGGAGGCAGAGAAATAATCACGAGGTTATAATTCAAAAATGTGAAATGTTGCACATATTTTGAACATCTTTGATCATGAAGTAATTTTGCCCATTAGGAAATAGTTTGTCATTTAATAGCGGTGGAGAATTGGGAAAAGTATTAGTATGTAAAGAAGAAAGGGTATAGTGTTAATGTGGTGGATCAACCTATGCAATGAGTTTTACTTTTCTTAAATACTACAAGTAACAATATATACTTCAAAATCTTTTTCTTGAGGCATATACCGGAAGCATTTTATGTTATGCTTTTATTTATGGTTTTGGATGCAATAAATGCAATATTTGATTCTTAACTTGAAAATTGAAATATGCAAGTCCTGTTTCATATTCATGGTTTTAACCTAGATGCGTATGAGTGAGAGGATATATGAGTTTTGTTATGCCTGGTGTTCTCTTGGTAAAATTATGAGGAAATGTATGTAATTAAGAGTCATATCTTATTTCTAGCATACGATATGACGAAAAATTGGTCTATAGAAATGTTTTAGCACGTTGTCAATGGAACCAGATAAGGAGCATCTTAAAAATAACCCAGAATTCACTGAGGATGGTATGATATAACTATTGAACATTCAATATGAGAATAGTCAAGTTTTCCTTTGTGGTTCTAAATACACGTACAGTCTGGTGACTTGGGAATAATTTATGTTCAATTTTCACTTGAGTTTTGTAATGATACTGAAATTATGGTTTAAAATCTGTTGAAGCTTTGCACCATGTGAATGTAAATCTTACTGCTGAGAAACATATTTGTTTCATGAATTTGTTTAGAAGTTGACCGGTAATGCTCTATATGGTTGTTGTATGCATCTCTTTCCATACATATGAATCTCAGAAGTCTTTCTTATCTAATGAAGCTGTGTTATTGGAATCACAACATATCTGAGTGGTGGAACAACTTGCATTTCTTTTCTTTTCTTTTTTTTTTGATAGGAGACTTGCATTTCTTTTTCATTATAAATTCCTTTTATTTTTTCACTGATAAAATTTGCAAATTCACTACTTTACTGACATTGCCTGTTTTGCACCTGACAGGATGGACGCAGGATCAGCGTTGGTGACTGTGCTCTCTTCAAACCACCCCAAGATTCTCCACCCTTCATTGGAATAATTCGCTGTCTGACTTCTGATAAAGAAAACAAGTTAAATTTGTGTGTGAATTGGCTTTATCGACCTGCTGAAGTAAAGCTTGACAAATGCATCCTCTTGGAAGCTGCGCCAAACGAAATCTTTTATTCCTTTCACGAGGATGAGATTCCTGCAGCCTCATTACTCCATCCTTGTAAAGTTGCATTCCTTCCTAAAGACTTTGAACTTCCATTGCGGATTTGCTCATTTGTGTGTCGGCGAGTTTATGACATTGCAAACAAGTGTTTATGGTGGCTAATTGATCAGGATTTTATTGATGTGAGTCCCAGATTCTCTTGCATATGTTCTATTACTGTCAAACTCTTTTAGTCGATATTTTCATTTTTATTTATTATCAGGAACGCCAAGAAGAAGTAGATCAACTGTTGTATAAGTCGCATTTAGAGATGCATGCAGCATTGCAGCAGGGTGGCCGTTCTCCAAAGCTGATAAATGGTCCTTCATCAACATCACAGTTAAAACCTGGCTCAGATAGTATACAAAATAGTGCTTCCCCATTTCCCTCTCTGGGTAAGGGGAAAAAGAGGGAGCGTGGTGATCAAAGCTTGGAGCCCGTCAAAAGGGAATGCAATAGTAAAATGGATGATGGGGATTCTGGTTGTGGTAGACCAGAAGTTAATTTAGAATCTGAGATTGCAAAAATTGCTGAAAAGGGGGGACTAGAAGATTTCTCGGGAGTTGAGAAGTTGGTTCAGCTCATGTTATCTGAGAGAAATGAGAAGAAAATAGATTTGGTCAACTGGTCAATGCTTGCTTGTATGATAGCAGCTACAGATAAGTTTGACTGCCTTAGTCATTTTGTTCAGCTTAGAGGGTTACTTGTTTTTGATGAATGGCTTCAGGAGGTCCACAAAGGGAAGATTGGTGATGGTAGCGGGTCCAAGGATGATAGATCAGTTGATGATTTTCTTTTAACCTTGCTCCGAGCTCTTGATAAACTCCCTGTAAATCTTACAGCTCTACAAATGTGTAATATTGGCAAATCTGTGAATCATTTACGTAGTCATAAGAATATAGAAATACAGAAGAAAGCAAGGAGCTTAGTTGATACATGGAAAAAACGAGTTGAGGCTGAGATGGATGCTAAGTCTGGTTCAAATCAGGCTGTTCCCTGGTCTGCTAGAGCTCGTCTTTCTGAAGTTTCTCATGGTGGAAGCAAGCACTCTGGACCATATGAGGTTGCCATGCAGAGTTCACTAATCCAACTTTCTGCCTCCAAAACTTGTTCAGTTAAGATTGCTCAAGGAGAAACCACAACCAAGCCTGCTTCTGCATCATTAGGACCTATGAAGGCAGCAACATCACCTGCTTCTGCCAGTACAAACTTAAAAGATGGGGAGGCACGAAATGCTCCTGTTGGTGGCACCTCTGACCCTCATGCAATCACAAGGGATGGGAAAAGCAGCAGTTCAAGTCAGTCTCATAATAATAGTCAGTCTTGTTCTAGTGATCATGGAAAGACTGGGGGGCTTTCTGGAAAGGGGGATGCAAGAAGTTCTCCCGATGGTTTAGGAACAGTGGCTAAGATCTCAGGTAGCTCTTCGCGTCACCGGAAATCCATTAATGATTTCCTAGGGACATCAGGGGTTCAAGGGGAAGCTGGATCAAGCAAAAATTCTTCTTTGCACAGAAATCCTGCTTCAGAAAAAATATCACAGTCAGGTTTAACGTGTGAAAAGGTGTTGGAGCCGCCTATGGTTGATAGTAACAGTCATAAGTTTACTGTTAAGATCCCAAATAGAGGTAGAAGTTCTGCACAAAGTGCCAGTGGAGGATCTCTTGAAGATCATGCGGTCATGAATAGCCGAGCTTCTTCTCTTGTGCTTTCAGAGAAACCTGAGCAATTAGATCGTAATATGAAAGAGAAAAGTGACAGTTATCAAGCAAATGTTATCAGCAATGTGAATACTGAATCTTGGCAGATCAATGACTTTAAAGATGTGCTGACTGGGTCTGACGAGGAAAATGGTTCACCTGCAGCTGTTCCTGGTGAAGAAGACTGTAGGAATGGAGAAGATTCTAGGAAAACAGATGATGCTACAAAAACTGCTTCCTCGTCATCTGGAAATGAACTTAAATCAGGGAAACTGCAAGAGGCTTCTTTTAGCTCCATAAATGCTTTAATTGATAGTGTCAAGTACTCCGAAGCAAGCGGGTGCTTACCAGTTGGAGATGATGCCGGAATGAATTTGCTTGCTAGTGTGGCTACTGGAGACTTCTCTGAGTCAAATTTGGCTTCACCTATTGATTATCCGCTGAGAAATACCCTTCTTATTGAGCATTCTTCCACGGGAAATGATACAAAATTAAAAACTCATTCTGGGGGTAAGATTGATCGAAATCAAAATCAAAATCAGTCTGCTGATGGTGCAGATGATCATTATCAAAAGCAGGGTGTTGCTGCTGGTAATTCTTGGGAAAAAAATGCAGACAGCAAGACTGGCTCAGCTCTGGAAAAATTTGGAGAGCTGAATGAGAATTTATCTTCATCAATAATGACTTTGCCTCAGATTGCGGACCAATGCCTTGAAAATGGTAAATTAAAGGAAGTTATAACTGCGGCTTTAGTCAGTATGTCTGCATGCAGTATGGAGAAAACTACTGATATTAGAGATTCCAAAGAGCATATGGAGAAAAAGTCTGTCGGAGTGGATGATGATTGCAGTGTGGATGCTAAACAAAAGGGGAGCTCTTCTGTGGTGAATGAAGAGGTCATTGATCCAGTTGTAAAAGTAGACAAAGAAGTGGTTGAAGGGTCTTCATCTGTACCTTCAACTGAAGTTGGTGTTGATAACAAGAAAATTGCAACCAAAGGTTCGGAGAGATTTTCACAGGCTCATCAGAAGTTGTCAGTTGTTATTGGACTTTCCATCAAAGATACATATAAAGAAGCATTGCCTACTTGTCCTACTAAAGATATCACTTTGGAAAATGTTGATGTAGCCAAGCCTGAGAAGGATGTTGAGATTGATGCATCGAGTCATGCCAGTAAAACACCTGAGTCGGAAGGTAATGGTTCTTTATTTATTTGTCTTGGTACTTATCATTTTTTAGGCTTAACTATACATTTGATACCTAAACTAGGCACCTTTTCCCAAGTTGGTACCTAAAGAAGTTTTGCTCCCAAGCTGCTACCGAACTTTAGTTCCATGCACTATTTTGGTACTTTTAACAATCTTTTTTCAAAACTTAAAGGTTTTTTTTAAAACACACACACATGATGTCGCCATCATTGACACATGGTACAATCTTATGTTGTCATGCCTTTAAAAATTATCATCGTTAATAAAAGTACCAAAATAACGGATGTAATTACTGGTAATTAAATTGAATGTCTTGGCTCAGTTATCACTGCCCAGAAAGGTAAGCACATGCAGGAGAACATGCAATGTAGCGAGGGTCATGAATCACCTAGTGGACCATCTCCTTGTAAGGCATTACCGGAAACAGAACAATCTAAGAAACGAAGGGGGTCTAAGGTGACTGGTGTAGAAGCAGGTGAAGCGGAAGAATGCACATCAGTTACTATCGAAACTCCTCGTATAGGTGTCGCAGATACAGATGCAAAAGTAGAATTTGACTTGAATATCGACTTTAATGCAGAGGAGGGGAAATCTGTGGAACCAAATAACTTGAAAGTAGTTGGATGCTCAGCTCCTGTCCAATTAATTAGCTCATTGGCTTTCCCTGTTTCTTCTGTTTCGGGCAGCCTTCCTGCTTCAATAACTGTTGCTGCTGCTGCTAAAGGGCCCTTTGTTCCCCTAAATGACCTACTAAGGACTAAAGGGGCACTTAGTTGGAAGGGATCAGCAGCTACAAGTGCATTTCGGCCGGCTGAACCCAGAAAAAGTCTAGATAATCCTCTGGGTACAAGTAACACTTCCATTCCTGATGCTACTACTGGGAAACAGAGTCGTCCCCCCTTGGATATTGATTTGAATGTACGTGATGAGAAAGTCCTTGAGGATCGTCATGTTACAGACTCTGCACCAGACTTTTCAAACAATCGTGATTTGAAAAGTGAACTGGTGGGTTCTGCACCCTATCGCTCCTCTGGTGGGCTTGATCTTGACTTGAACAGAGTTGACGAGCCTGCCGATTTGGGTCACTCTAGTGGCAGTGGTCGTAAAATAGATTCCCCAATGCATCATGTAAAGTCAGCAGTTCGTATTCTTAATGGTGGGGCAAGTTTCCGCAGGGACTTTGATTTGAACGATGGACCTACTGTGGATGAGGTGACTGCTGTGCCATCACTATTTAGCCATCATAGTAGGAACAGCAACGTGCTATCTCAAGCACCAGTTACTGGCCTGCAGATAAGTAATACTGAGATGGAAAATTTCTCGTCATGGTTTCCTGCAGGGAATAAATACTCAGCTGTTACTATTCCGTCAATTTTGTCTGATAGGGAACATCCTTTTCCAATTGTTGCAACTGGTGGACTTGGAAGGGTGTTGGCCCCCCCTACCGGTGCCACCCTTTATAATTCTGATATTTACAGGGGACCTGTGTTGTCATCTGCACCAGCGGGGCCCTTCCCATCTACTCCTTTCCAGTATCCTGTGTTTCCCTTTGGAACAACTTTTCCTCTTCCTTCAACCAGCTTTTCTGGCAGTTCAACAACTTATGCTGATTCATCTTCTGGTGGGAGGTTTTGTTTCCCCCCAGTCCATTCGCAATTGATGGGACCTGCAGGTGCAGTTCTGCCCTATTACCCAAGGCCTCCCTATGTTAGCCTTCCTGACAGCAGTTATAATAGTGGTGCTGAGGGTGGAAAGAAATGGGGAAGGCAAGGTCTAGACTTAAATGCTGGGCCTGGAGGCCCAGACATTGAAGGAAGAGATGAGACAGCACCTCTTGCATCTAGGCATCTGTCTGTTGGCGGTTCACAGGCCCTGGCAGAGGAGCAAGCAAGAATGTATCACGTATCAGGTGGGGTTTTGGAAAGGAAGGAACCTGAGGGAGGATGGGATGGATACAAGCAATCTTCATGGCAGTAGGAATAATTGAATATCACCGTCTACTGGCCCATTAAAGCTTGTGAGTCATTTATGTTCCTTCTGAGCTCTTTTTGGCAGGGCCTTAATTTTTTCTTCCCCCATTTTTTAATTTCCGTGCCCACTCTTGATGGTGCACAAGGAGAGAAATGATATTAGAACTATGGATTTCTTCATTGACCAATTTAATGTTTATTTCTTTTTCAGTTCTTCAAGGATGGTCATTGGCTAACCCCCAGATGTCTTCTAACCTGTGTTCTCTAGAGGATGGGTGGTAAGTGAGCCATTTGATGTTGTTCATAGTCTGCAACCCCCACCTTTTCGATGTATCATCTGTACTGTAAAAGAATCTGTTCGAGGTATTCAAAGCTTTGTTCCTTGAACCCGTTCTGGATAAAGATCATTTTCCTCTTGTAGATATCATAACTGATGGAAATCATGCCCTTATGTTTCCCGGACATTAAAAATTGGTGCCCATATTGGTTTTTAGTTCATATCTTTCTCGACTTTTTTTTCCCTCTTTTTATTTTCTTGTTTTCCCAATTAAATTGGTCACCGAATTTTATACTGAAGCCTTCTCTGATGTGGCATGAGTTAGTTGCTGTGGTTGATGTATTCAAATCGTTTATTTAATTGATAAACTCTAATTGTAGTTGATACGCTACTGTTTTAATTGGTGTCAAGTTTGTTTGCTATCAATGTTATTAAGAGTGCAGGGAAATTTGATAATATCAAAACACTAGTGTGGGCAAGTATATGTCATCTGTTCTTTTGCAGTGTGAATATTTTGCTGTTTATTGAAGTAGGTATGTTGAACAGACTTGCTATCAGTTTTATTAAGAGTGCGGGAAATTTGATAATAGCAAAACACTAGTGTATTGTGCAAGTATATGTCATCTGTTATTTTGCAGGGTTAATATTTTGCCGTCGATTGAAGTAGGTATGTTGAACAGACTTTAGGCTGGATTATAGAGCTTGTGATCAGCCATTGATTTATTCACTTCAAATTTCCATTTGCCTACGTTTCTTTTTATTCATTGAAGATAATGGCAATGTTTTTCCTATCAAAAAAATAATAATGGCAATGTTTTGTTCTGCTCTTTTCAGATCAGTTCATTTCGGTTCACGTCTTTGACTGTGTTAGAACCAAGTGCTTGAACGTATGTTTGATTGTGACCCCTTTAAGTAAAGATAAGACTGGAATTTGTGTCAATTGAATTGAGAAAGAAAGCTGCTCTAATTGTTAAGATTTGTGTATATTTCTGTAGTGTCCAAATTTATGGAGGCCGGAATCTGGGCTTCCATTTTGTTTAGTATATATACATGCATGGTATGTATATTGATGCTCAGAATTGCGCACAAAAAGAGAGGTGTTGTACGTTAAGATGTGCAGTAGAAACTCTGATTGTTCACTCGACATCAAGTCGTTTAGCTTTAAATTTTCTTTCCTATGCATAGCTTGTTTTATTTGACGACCAGGCTATCCCAATGTTTTTCTGACTTTCTGGTGTATGTGAAAGAGTGCTGTTCGTTTGATAAGTTCCTCTTTATCTCCGAGATGTTTGGATTTTACAAAACCCCGTGGACATGTAGAAGAGAAATGCTATCTCAACTCAGACCAAGACATAAGGCTAATAGAAGATAACACACGGGTTTTTTGCTTGGTAAAATGAGAATTGAAAATATGAAGAATGTAGAAAATTAAAAAATAAGTACTTGTGTATATATATATATATATATTGATTAAGTAAAGGTGATTACAAGTAGTATTTGTACTAAATTTACTCTCAATCATTTGATCACTGAGGTAAATTGGTTTGTGCTCCTATATATTTTCTATAAAACTGATGAGAAATAGTATCATTCATGGCTGAAAAACTGAAATTGATAGACTAGAAAATTGAAAATTAGAAAAATAAACATGATCTTATAAATATGAATTTATTAGTTTTTTCATTTTCTAACCATATTTATTGGGTTTTTTTATTGCCTTTCATCCTTGTACTTTTTTCGCTGACCTAAACGCTCTTTCCGATAATAATCAATATATGGTGTGAATTTGTACCCCAAAAAGGAAAAAAAAGAAGAAATACAGATTGCTTAAGTTTTGATTTAACTAGGGGCCTAGATGATGCAGTTCAAATACTGCGAAAGCACTCACGATGAATTGAATAAGAATCCATAATTGTAGGAAATTATGCGTCACAAAATGACTAAACAAAACAAGACATAGGGCATTTCTACTCCAAGAAAAAAAGGATTAAAAGTCTAACCACATTTTTTCAAGCACAGTACAAGAAACCATAAATCCACTTAAGTTTTAAACTCTATACAAGAAATCAATATAGTAAATTAGCAGTCGAATATATATTCTTTTACTATAAGTAGACCGTAAATGTAAACAACCACAGTGCGATTTTGAGGGAGAAGTAATGCTGAGTAATCCATTAGAAGCAAACTCACTTGATCCTGTTGACTAAAAAGAATATCTAGGCGAAGACACACTGGAATAGCGGTACCATGAGGAGCACAAGCTTTTGGTTTGAAGGAAAGCAATCGGTTTCACTTGGGAGGCACAAAGTTCCTGCAGAAGATGTTTCTGCAAATTGAATAAAAACATGATCATGCCTGGGAACTTATAGGCTCTGGATTAAAGAAAGATAAATTTTGTGCAAGTAGTATTGCGTGGAACAAAATAGGTCAAACAAAAGCAAAGCATGCAATGCGACTGGTAAGTTAGAAGCTGCTAACTTCTATTTGATTTACTAGAACACAGGAAACTACTCCCATCCCTAACCAAAGTGAATTAAGAAGCATGAACTCGGACACAACTCGGAAATACTTTGTGCGAATGTTGATAACATAGAGATTTAATGTGCCGTATCATATCTAAACTACTCAAGTGCTGTAAAATTCAAACGCACTAAAAATCATTACTTTCAGGATAATATCTATAAATTTGTACCTCAATAATTGCTCTTAGGCACAGTGGCTTTAAAATTTTCTCAACATAAAACAGAATGTCATGCAAGAAAATTCACATGTTCGACAATCAGATGGCAATATAACAAGCACCCAGAAACTTAAGAAACACCGACATCAGACATCAGACATCCTCGACTAGGCTTTTTCTTCTTCTCCTTCTGTTTCTGCGGTGGCTTGATGACAACCTTGATTGCAGCATCAAAAACTGCTTTCACATTCTGCAAATGCAAGGAAAGCATAACTGAATAGAGATATATATTAAATAAAGGATGTCCTGTGTTTTGATATAACCTCGTAAAGGCAAAGAGCCAAAGAGTATATCAATCAATGGGAAGGCTGAAATAGGATAATCACTATTAATTAAATGGCATGATGCATCAACAGATAATGGTTTAACTAGTTATCAAGTTCAAAGAGTTCATTTCTATAACCAGGTCACCAAGAGCTCCTCAGAGATGTCCTTGAGAGACCCAAGTCTACCAATGACATTAATAGGGAGTAGGTCCCAAGTTCATACCTGCTGTGTTTTTGAGCTGCACTCGATGTAATAAGCAGCACTAATCTGTTTGCGGAGCTCCTCACCCTGTTTTGATAGGATGATTAAGATAATAAATCACTGATAAATCTATTACATTTACCACCAGTGAGTGAAACACACCTGTGCAGTGTTAAGAGGAAGCAAACCAGGATGATCAGCCAGATAATGTTTGTCCTTACGAAGATCTATTTGCCATTTTAAAAGAGAAATTAGTATGCCATCCACCATACGGACACATAAAGGTCACAATGTTGCTGAATTTACAAAATCAACTTTGACAGGCACCTTTTGAAGGACATGATCATTCAAATATCAATTCAAATGACCACCATAAAAGTTGCAGGTTCACTGAAATTATAATCCCTTTTTTAGAATATGAAATAACCAGCAATTTTTATGTCTACATGAAAGCGGTAAACTGTCCATGTGGTAGATTAAATGGATAAGTGGTGTATCCAGCAGAACTTTTAAAATGCAACACCAGAAAAAAGCAAAAACTTCTGGAGGCATATTGAACTGTACTACGAACACTCTTTCCCCAAGAATGAAAATGACAGAGAGGACACTAAGCTTTTTAACTGGAATTGTATCACTAAATTCCAAATTTGTTATTGAAGTAATCAGCTAGTTCTGCAGATGCAATTGACAACTACTCTGTAAACTACATCTGCTTTCAATTTTGATTTTCTCTTTCGGATGAGCATGGCCATTGCAATCAAAACAAGATCAAAATAACACATGATATTCAAGCAAGCATGAGTTCAGACCAATGGTTATAACAAAATAGCATTGAAATCATAAATGAATTCCTCTCATCTTAGCAGATCCAAGGTAATATTTTCTGTTCATTTGTTCTCCCAAACTTAACTGCCTCGATCTCTATCCTTCCTTCTCTATAGGACATAACTTGTCACCAAATCTCTAGCACATCAAGTAGTTTCCGTTACACGTGTAAATGAGTTCCACTTATGGTACCTCTACATTATATTTACCGCATACTTGAATCTTCTTTGCAGTCACTACTCACTACCGAACTGAAATCACCAATTTCAGATACATAATTGGAAGTTTCTGTTTTAGAAAATACACTGTTCATATATCTCTGTCAAAGCTCATTGCTTGCAACAATTACTTGCTGCGGTCAGAAATATTACTCCATTTGAAAGTAAGAATATCATTCAACTTTTAAACTATATCTGGCGATGCTACTGTACTACAAAGCCTAGAATGCGAGGAACTAAATTGAGATCAAATTAGATTGAAAATGAAGTGATTATGGAAATGTTAATGATGCGGTTGCAAAATTACCCAATTTTGTGCCAACTAGAACCACAGGGACACCTGGGGCATAATTTTGAAGTTCAGGGGTCCACTGTCCAAGAATCAGTGTGTTAGGGAATTGCAGAACATTAACATAAAACATCACAATCGTAGAAAGAAGTTCAAGATCCATGATTAGCACCTTTTTTAGTACATTCTCATAGCTCGCTCGACTAACTAAGGAGAAAACTAAGACAAATACATCTGCACCTCTGTAGCTCAGTGGTCTTAATCTATTGCAATCCTCGTCCTACGAAAAGTCATCAAAATTTCAAAACAGGTTTAAATTTTAAGAAAATATTTATATATTATAAAAAAAATGTCATTCGTCTTAAAACATTTGAATTCGAACAATTGTATTTGCATGTATCAACAAATTAAAAGAATTTTCAACAAACATTATCTTATCATCATTTAAAAAATTATAATAAATTATAAATTACCACTCCAACATTAAAGTTTAAGAATAGATAAATTACACAAATGGTCACTGATATTTGAAAAGTTTTCATTTTCCTTACTAAAATTTTAAAAGTGACAAAATGGTCATTAACATTACCGATTTATAATAAATTGATCACTCGACGTTAATCACCATTACTCTAGGTAATAAAAAAATGAGATAACACGTTAACCGTTGACCTGACACTATTGGACCACCATTTTGATTTATCTATCTCTTCCGTATCCACATTTCTTTTTACAGCTAAAATTAAAAAGTTACCTTCATTCTTTAAAAAAAACTCTCTTTATGCATGATAAAATTACACAATTAGTGCTTAAACTTCTTAGGGTGCGTTTGGTTCACGGAATGTAAGATTACCAGTGGGAATAAAAGATTACCAGGGAATAGGATTACTGGGAATGTTGTATTTTGTGTTTGGTTGGTTTAGCAGGAATGTAAGATTACCGTGTTTGGTTAAAAGAATAAAAGATTATTGGAATGTATATTTGACCAAATTGTCCTTATTATATATTTGTATAATATTACAAATTGTAAAATATTTATATATTTTCTTTAAAAATTAAATTCATAATATTTATATAATTTTTTTACAAAATTAAAAAATATAAAAAAGGTTTAATGAAATGGTAAAAATTTTTTAACCCCTGAACTTCATATAAAATTTTAATTATAGACTTTTTTTTGTAAATCTAAAATAATTTAAGGATAAATTTGTAATTTAACCTTCGTAGAATTTTTATTATTCAATGACAGAAGAAGGATATTTTTGAAAATAAAAATAAAAATTTATGGGCATTTTAGTTCAAAACGCCGGTAATGTTACAATACTTAAGGGAAGGGAGGTAATGACATTCCCAGTAATATACCCCAAAAAATCTACTATTGGTAATAAAACATTACCGGGAATGAGATTCCCGGCCAACCAAACATGGGAATGTGGGATCCCCATCCCATGAGAATCCCACAAACCTTGAACCAAACACCCCCTTAGGATTTACAGTTTAAACTCCAAATTTCATCATATATTCAATTTAATATGTACCTTCAGTAATATTCAAAATATAAAAAAAAATAAAGAAGCTTATAAACGGGCTTATATAAGAGCTTATAAACGGGCTTATATAAGAGCTTATAAACGAACTTGTTCATGAACATAAACCAACCGAGCATACCTCTGTTCGTGTTCGTTCGTTTATTAAATGAACATAAAATTTTGTTCATACTCATTTATTTAGGTGAATAAACAAACGTTATATGAATGGTTCACGAACAATTCACCAAACGCTCTGTTCATTTACACCCCTAGTAACAGGTCAAATGACCGATTTGTTATAAATCTATAATGTTAGTGATTATTTTGTTATTTTTAAATCTTCAATAGAGAAAAAGAAAAGTTACTCAAACATTAATGACCATTTATGTAGTTTACCTTTGAGGAATTGGTTATTGAAGTGATACCTAACTAAATTAAGGGTTTGTTTGATAGATTGTAATTGGTTTTCTGGAAAATAATTTACGTAAAATGAATTACATGAAAAATGTTTTACGTAAAATGAATTACATAGAAATTGTTGTACATAAAATGAATGAACTAAAACTATTTTACGTAAAATGAATTACATTTTCTAAGAAATAGTCTTTGGAAACTATTTTATGGTGTTTTGATGATATTGTGTAAACAATTTTCACTGATTGTTTGATACACTATAATTATTTTTATAGAAAATGATTTACATAAAATGAATACAATTTGGTTCGATTAATATTTTCAAAAACTGATTGGATTAACGATTAAAAGAAAAAAAATTGGGTTATTCGGTTAATGGTAATTCAATTCAATAGGTGGTTGAATTAACCATTTGAACACCCTTAATTTTAATTATTAGTATTTTATTAACATAATAATAAATTATTATATTAATATTAAATATATAAATTAATATTACTCATTATTAATAATTTAATAATATTATATTTATAAAAATAATAGATAAATATTAATAATTTATTAAATATTACTAAATTAAAAATATAATATAATATATTATTATTATAATATATTTGAGTATATATTAATATAATATTAAAAATATAATATTATTAAAATTACATTATATGTATATTAAATATTTTAATAATTAATATTTTTATTAAATTAATATTAAAATATTAAGTTAATATTAAATGTATAAAATAATATTTTTTGAGTACTTATGTTATGAAGTGAAAAGTTTGGAAAATGTTTTATTAAAAATCATATGGTAAAATAATTTACAGTAAATACAAAGAAACTAGGAAAATGAATTATATTGGAAAAAATCTATTACAACTATCAAACACTAGAAATTTTTTTCTCGTAAAATCAATTACAACTATCAAACAATGAAAAATATTTTTCAGCTATAAATGTTTTCCAACTATCAAACACACCCTAAATATATGGGTGGGAGACATAGGCCCAACGAAAAACCATTAATTAAAATTTTAAATTTCTTAAATGTTAAATTTCTATTAGACCAGTCTATTTCAACACATTCATTTCTCTCTTTTTTTTATGTTAATTCGTTTCTTAATTTTATTCAATTTTAAAGCAAAACCGATATTATGTTAAACTTGTTATATAACTAGGCAGTATTCAAATGGTGTTATTTTAGGTAAACTACACAAATGATCACTTGAGTAAGTTTTTGTTTTTCACATTAAAATTTTAAAAGTAATAAATTAGTCACTAACATTATCGATTTATATAGAAATTAATCACTCGTTGTTAACAGTTATTAGTTATTACTGAATGCTGATGTGATTCGTTAAATCAGTTGACCTAGCACCATTTGACCACCAGTTTGACTCTCCTCTCTTGTTTGACTTTCTTTTATGGTTTTCTATTTTATTTTCTCCACCATTAAAATATCCACCAACCTCTCTTCCGAAAGAAACCTCCACCCCTTCACCTCAAACTCATTTGGTGCTAAGTCAAAGGGTGGAGAAATCAAAAGATATACTAACTCTACTAAAGTGTGTGTTTCACTAGAAGTTATGCCATGAAAGACTTTTAGAAAGATATTGCACCAGATGTTATAGCATTACTACTCTTCCTGTCTTTGATCCTCTTTTTGTGTGATTATAAATCAGTTTTGTAGTTAGAAGCTTAATGAACTGCATGTAGCAGTTTTACAAGTTTAATATACCAGTAGCACAGCGTCAGCGAAAATAAACCAACTTGCTGAACATACATGTCATCTTCTAATTTGCAATTTTAAGCAATCTTCACGTTAATTTTTTTTCCCTTGCGATCTTTCTTTATATATGCTCATATTTTGGTTATATTAAGAAGTGCAATTAGAAGCTTCCTGTCGAGCCAATTGAATTCGGCAACTGGCTCTGCTACTTTTTCCTTAGGAGCCTCTTCTTATTTTTTTTTCTCAACTTCTGGCTCCTCGGTCACAGCCTCTTTGGATTCACCTTCAACCGGGACTTTAGCTTTAGGTTCTTGAGCCCGGGGTTCTTCAGATGCCGTCTCCTTTGCTACACACTTAAGCTAATTCATTTACATTAATGGCAGATAAAACAAAACAAAAGATGATGAAAATTGTAAAATAAAAGAGGATAGTGAGATGGCCAGTCAAAAGGTATCATTCATGGTCAAACCGTGTTAGGTAAGTTGGTTTAGTGTGTCACTTACTGAAGTAACGGCTGTTAACAGTTGGTGACTGATTTATTATAAATCGATAGCGTTAGTGACTAATTTATTACGTTTGAAACTTCAGTGGAAAAACAAAAAATTATTCAAATATTAATGACCATTTATGTAATTTACCCTTCATTTTATTGTTATCAAGTCGGTTTAGGTCCCAACTACTAAGATGTTATTTAAAAAAAGAAGATGAATATATATATATATATATATATATATATATTTATGAGAAAAAATAAATAGTTTGGAATAATAATCAACGTGTTAGGTAATCACTCTTGCAAATGTGTTTTAGAAGAAATAAACCAACTAACAACTTTTGTCTGTTTAGTTTTAATTCATTCATCTATGACTACTTTAATCCCAATCAAACTTACTTGAAAACATGAGAAAGACGTTAAACATTGTTTAACAAAAGTTGTAGTCATCGTCTTAACTTGTTTATTAACATTTTCATTGAGTACAGCTCTTTGCCAAATATCTCATCATTACGAGAGAAAAAAATCCTTCTTACACTTTGTTTGCATATTTAAATATTACGGACCCTACATATTATATAAACATAAATCAAATATATTAATATTACCGACCCAACTCAAATATTAATTATCGTTATAATAAACTATGTAATTTTTAAGAATAATGATATATTTATAATAATTTTTTAATACCCTCTCTGCAACGTTTTTTCGTGTTCTGTAAATTTTCGCTCTGCTGTCGTTGGCATGTCAAGGTGACTCTAGAGAATGTGTGACATTCCACAGGGGTATTTTAATCATAGAATTAGGAGAAGGGCGCTATTTGTTCCAACTTTATAACGAGATTGATGTTGAACGAGTCGTGTTGGAAGGCACTTGGTACTTTAATTCTCACCTTTTGATTTTACATCGGCTTCAAATAGGGGATGATTCGAGACTGATGGTGTTGGATTCGATAGAATTTTGGGTTTTGGTTAATGACCTACCGGTAGGTTATATTTCATAATCTGTTTCCAAGTAGTTTGGTAATTTTCTGAGGAAGTTTGTGGAGCATGACGTTTCGATTATTACCATAGGATATCGTGGTTGCATGTGCATACGGGTCGGGTTGGATGTTCGAAAACCCTAGAAAGTGGGTCTTTTGCCGATGTTACTTTTCAATATGAGACACTTCGAATCTTTTCTTTCTTGTGTGGAAAGCTGGATCATGGGGAGAATTTTGTACCACACGTATTCTTAAGAAGAAAGGTACTCTTAGGTCTCATTGGGTAGTCTCGTTGAGAGCCCCTCCACGGTGGCGTGGATCGTTGTCAAGTCTATAGTTAAGAGAGGTTGGGTCTACAGGAGGTTTGGGTACGTCTTTGGGGAAGGAGTCTGATGTGCATGTTCTAGTAGCTTCGGGGGCAATTGGCTAGACAAAGGTTTTGGTTGAACAAACGTTCACATAAATGGTAGGCTGCATGACGAAGGATGGGGAATCGGATGTTGTGATGGTTTCGGCGAGGGAGGTGGATCCTCTAAAGAACCAGGAAAATATGAAATGACAATGGAGTAGTCCAATAATTCCGAATGTGTCATCTGAGAATGTTCCTGGAAATTTTGAGATATCGATTGGCCTGAGTTCCCAGGTCAATCGGGAGAATGAAACTTCTAAGTTGGAATGTTTGGGGTTTGGGGAGACCCTGGACAGATTATCTTCTCTAGCACATGCTAACAGAAATCAACCCCACTGTGACTTTCTTTAGTGAGACAGAGCTTCAGAGTTCTCGAATGGCAAAAGTGTGGCGTAGGTGCAGACATAGGAACAATATTGATGTTGATGCAATAGGTAGTTGTGGTGGTCTTAGTTTAACAAATAACCAAAACAGATGAGTAGCAAAATAGGTAGTTTACTCATTAGAGTATAGGTAAGTTTTTTGTTTTGGTTATTAATATTTTGAAAAGTTACGTTTACTCCCTAGTAACTTTCAGACATTAATTTAAATAAAAAGTAATTATGAGTGTATATGTGTGTGTGTGTCTTTCTTAATAATGTTAGAGACTAGTGCTGGAATACTGGTACATGCTAGTTATTCTATTCATTTTAAAGAATTATAGCTTAATTTCAAGCTACTTAGTTTGATAAGCTAGACGGATTCTTGGGATATATTTTACGAGATTTGACTGTCAGTGACTTCTGTTTGATGTTGGGACTGTACTTGTTGCCTTGATGTGGACTTTCAACTTGTATAAGAGGCCGAAAATCACTGCTGCACACGTAATTAGAAAGACGTTTTGGTGCAACATTCTCTTGGGGTTGTTGGTTCCTTTCTGGATTGATTTTAATTTTTGAATTGTTTATTTGCAGCTAGCAGTAATTCTACCACTTGCTGTGGTGCATACCTTGGGCAACCTCTTTACTGATGTGAGTCTAGGAAAAGTGGCTGTTTCTTTCACTCGCACGATTAAAGCTATGGAGTCATTCTTCTCAGTTCTGTTTTCTCCAATGTTTTTAGGGGAGGAAATTTCTTGTTTAGTTATTTTAATATTTTTTCCAATCATACTTTCATAAATATTAATTATATTATATCTATAAGGCTTATGTAAAAATAAGCGTCCAAATTATACCCAAAGTTAACTTTAGGCACTTAAAGATTTTTTTGAAAAATAGGTGTCTAACGTTTTTGATGTTATACTTTTAAGTGTCTAACGTTTCCGACGTTATATATTTAGGTGTATGGGCTATAATGACCATTATAAAATACCGTTATTTGACACGTGTCAGTTATATAAAATTATATTTTTTATTTATAAAAATACTTAAAATTAAATTTATTTTTAAAAACCTAATATTTTCTGAAATTATAACCCCCAAATACCAAAAGAATTCTAATTTCAATCCTTACCACCGTCGCTGCCGCCAATCAGTTGAAACCCTGACGATGTATGACTGCCCGAACTCCCATGCTTCACGCGGTGATTGCAGCGGAAAATTGGCGATCGCAGTGTGGAGTACCCCTTTCAGCCATTTGCGAAATCTTGTATTTATGCAGTCGTTGGGTATTCGGCAGGATGCGAAAATAAAGGGATTCGGCCGTTGGGCGATTGTATGGTCGGAACATTAGGTGTTCAGTCGATTGATGGTTTTGGAGGCAGTTGGTGGTTCTAAGGGATTAAAATTAGGGTTTTAAGTTGAGGTTTTTTATTTGTAATTTTATAAACGTGACATATGTTACTTAATAGCCGAATTTGACAGTGTTACAGTCTATACACCTAAAAGTAAGTATAACGTTGGAAACGTTAGACACCTATAACGAAAAAAATTTTAGACACCTAAAGTTTGGGAAGTTATTTATTCATTAAGCCTACCTATAATTATAAATACCTCGTTGAGTTTCCTTTCTTTTGTAATCTCTTGGAAGTTATTCAAATTGTTGATTTCTTTACATGAGTGATTATTGTGCCTGTTTGAAACTCATTTAGTGTGAAAACTGATGCAGTTTCTTTCGTTTTTTTGGGATCAGTAATGTAATTCCATGGTTCTAACTTCGAGTATGATATTTTACTGTTACAGCTGCCAACTCCTTGGGTAGTTGGTTCCCTTGTACCAATTGTTGGAGGAGTTGTACTTGCGTCTGCTACTGAATCCTCATTTAATTGGTAAGAATTGTACATTCTAGCATCTACTATCGTTATATAACTGTAGAAAGTTTTATTTTACTTGCTATCTGTTGACGAAAACGGGTAAAGAAAACGAAAGAACACGAGAATTTTACGAGGTTCGGCAATGTGCTTACGTCCTCGGTGCCTAGGCGGCGCTAGAAGTTTTATTCAATGATATTTTAGGTCTAGGTTACATCTCTATTTATAATAGAAAACCCTGGTACATAATTACAAAATCAACCCTGTACCGTACCGCGGGGGCTGCGCCCCCACACCCCCAACCCACATAATTCGTAACCCCACAACGAGACTTTTTATGAGCCATACATAACAAATCTCCACCTTGGCGAATATCCTGCCCCTTGGAAACTTCAATGTGGGTTGGGTTACCTTGCTTCTTTAACAACTCGAAACATTCAACAAGTCCAAGCAATGCTTGAACTTGTCTGTCGTAACTGGCTTGGTGAACATATCAGCGGCATTCTCATTAGTATGTACCTTCTGAAACAAAACCTCTCCAGATGCAACCAACTCTCTGATCTTGTGGAACCTTACATCAATATGTTTAGTTCTAGCACGATACACCTGATTCTTAGCCAAGTGAATAGCACTTTGATTATCACAAAGCAACTGAACTCCACCTTGTTGAACACCCAACTCCTTCACTAAACCAGTAAGCCATAAAGCTTCTTTTGCAGCTTCAGCCGCTGCCATGTATTCAGCTTCAGTTGTAGATAGTGCCACGACAGATTGAACAGTAGACTTCCAGCAAATAGGCCCTCCACCAAGAGTAAACACATACCCTGTCGTAGATCTTCTATTATCCAAGTCACCTGCATAATCTGAATCCACATATCCTACAACCAAAGGATTATCCCGCTGACTCCCAAAAACAATTCCATGTCCCACAGTACCCTTTAAGTACCGAAAGATCCACTTGACTGCATCCCAATGTTGCTTACCAGGTTTAGACATGTACTTACAAACTTGACTAACAGCATGAGCTAAATCAGGACGAGTACATACCATCGCATACATCAAGCAGCCAACAGCATTAGAATACGGAACCTTTGCCATATTTTCAGCTTCCTTATCTGTCTTAGGGCACTGTTCTGATGAGAGCTTAAAGTGATTCGCCAATGGAGTGCTAACTGGTTTCGCGCTGCTCATCGCAAACCTTTCTAGCATTTTCTCAACATAACCCCGTTGAGATAGCCGCAGTTTCCTTGAGTCTCTGTCCCTGCAAATTTCCATTCCAAGAATTTTCTTTGCAGCACCTAAATCTTTCATATCAAATTCCTGACTCAATAAAGTTTTCAAACCGATAACATCATCCATGTTCTTCGCAGCAATCAACATATCATCAACATACAGTAATAGAAAAATAAAAGAACCATCATCAAGGCTCTTAACATAGACACAACAATCATACTCACATCGGTTGTAGCCAATCTTGATCATATAGGAGTCAAACCGTTTATACCACTGTCTCGGAGACTGTTTTAACCCGTACAAAGATTTCTTCAATCTGCAAACTAAATGCTCGTTTCCAGGTTGAGTGAAACCTTCAGGTTGCCGCATGTAGATCTGCTCCTCTAAATCACCATGCAAAAAAGCAGTTTTAACATCCATCTGCTCTAAATGCAAATCCCAACTAGCCACCAATGCAAGTACTGCTCGGATTGAAGTGTGCCTGACCACAGGAGAAAAGATTTCATCATAATCAACTCCTTTCTGCTGTGAAAAACCCTTCGCTACCAAACGAGCCTTGAACTTCTCCCCCTCTTTTTCTGTTACTGCTGGTTTCTTCTTATACACCCATTTGCAACCAATCGGCTTCTTACCCTCAGGAAGGGGAACTAACTCCCATGTGCGATTGTGATTCAAAGACTCCATCTCCTCAACCATGGCTGCCATCCACTTGTCGTTTTCCTGACTAGTAACGGCATCATGAAAAGTAACTGGATCATCACTGCTAACAGTAAGTGCAAAAGATACCAAGTCTTCAAAACCCAATCTGTTCGGAGGCTTTATATTCGTCCGTCTCACCCTGTCTCTGGCGAGACTATAATCCTGCAAATCATCCGTAGTGGAACCACCAGAAGTCGGTTGAGAAGTTTCTGGTTTCTCAACTGGAAACTGCTCGAAATCTACCACTGTCGTGTCTTGCTTCTGCTGCAACATAGACTGTTCATCAAAAACGACATCTCTACTAATCACAACTTTCTTCGCAACTGGATCCCAGAACTTGAATCCTTTGACACCTTTCTTGTAACCCAGAAAAATGCACTCCTTCGATTTTGCATCAAGTTTGGATCTCTCATCAGCAGGTACATGCACATAAGCAGGACAACCAAAAATCCGTAAGTTATCAAAACTAACATCATGACCAGTCCATACCTCTTCTGCAACTTTCCCAGCCAGCGATGCCCTTGGCGATCTGTTGATAAGGTAACACGCCATGTTAACAGCCTCAGCCCAGAAGTGTTTGGGAAGCCCCGCATTCAACCGCAAACATCTGGCTCTTTCATTCAACGACCTGTTCATTCGTTCCGCAACACCATTCTGTTGTGGTGTCTTGCGCACTGTAAAATGCCTCTGAATTCCATGCTCCTTACAGAATTGTAGGAACTGTGAATCTGTGTACTCCGTACCATTATCAGACCGCAAACACTTGATTTTTCGTCCTGTTTGGTTTTCTACCTCAGCTTTCCACAGCTTGAACTTCTCAAAAACTTCAGATTTCTGTTTCAAAAAATACACCCAAACTTTCCGTGAAAAATCATCAATAAAAGTAACATAGTACCTAGATCCACCCAAAGACGATGTCGTGGAAGGCCCCCATACATCAGAATGCACATAATCAAGAATCCCTTGAGTTGTGTGCTTCGCAGTCTTGAAACGGACTTTAGTCTGTTTACCAAGAACACAATACTTGCAAAAATCGAGCTTACAGCTTTTGACACCATGCAACAAGTTTCTCTTGTGTAATTCTGCCATACCACGTTCACTAAGATGAGCAAGGCGCATATGCCACAATTTTGTCGTATCATCACAGGACTCAACAGAGTGAACTCCACCTGCAACGGTACTCCCTAACAATCTGTAGATATTCCCTGCAGTCATCTTGCCTTTCATCACAGTCAATGCTCCTTTAACAATCCGAATGGTTTCCCTATCCTCGTCAGCCTTAGGGATAAAACCATTCTTGTGCAAAGTGCCCAAGGAAATCAAATTCTTCTTCAAGTCTGGGATATGTCGAACACCACTCAACGTCCGAACGGAGCCATCGTGCATCTTAATTCTGACATCACCAATACCAACAATATTGCAACATCGATCATCACCCAAATAAACCGAACCAGAATTAACCGGCCTGTATGTCGAAAACCATTCCCTATTTGGCGTGATGTGATAAGAACATCCAGAATCAAGAATCCAAGCATCTGTCAATTGTGTCGTTGAAATAGAAAGCATATCACCCTCACTGCAATCAGAAGTATCATCCTCGACCACGTTCACAGACTTGGATGAGCCATCACGCTTCTCATCGGTCTGCTTTTTCAACTTCGGACAGTCTCGCTTCATATGTCCCGCCTCCTTGCACTTGTAACAGTGAATCGTCTTCTTATCCCTGGATTTGGATCTGGAATTCCGCTTCCCGGACCCTGCCTTCTCTGGCTTCCGTCCACGATCTCGATTACCCTTGACATATAAGCTATCGGCTTGAGAGCTTTCCCCTGCATTCTGCTTCCGCTGGTTGTGAGCCAACAAGGCTGCAGTAATCTCCTCAACGTTGATAGTCTCTTTTCCATATGTAAGAGTAGTCACCATGTGTTCGTAAGAGGAAGGCAACGAACACAACAGAATCATCGCTCTGTCTTCATCCTCAATTTTCACATCAAGCCGAGCCAGATCAGAAACGATTTGATTGAAGACATTCACGTGTTGCGCCAAATCGTGATCGTCCTGCATCTTCAGCCCATACAGTCGCTGCTTCAGATACAGTTTTGTCGTTAAGGATTTGGACATAAACTGACTTTCCAACTTCCTTCAAATTTCGTCTGGAGACGATAGATGCATGACGTGATACATGACCTCGTCCGCCAAGCATAATCGTATGGTTCCTGCCGCTCGCTGCTGCAATTCTTCCCAATCTTCCTCATCCATCGACGCCGGCTTTGTAGGTCGCAAAGCCTTCAAGATCCCTTGCTGCGCCAATAGATCCTTCACCCTCGTTTGCCATAATCCGAAGTTACCCTGACCATCGAATTTCGCGACTTCGAATTTTGCTCCTGAGCTCTGATACCAATTGTTGACGAAAACGGGTAAAGAAAACGAAAGAACACGAGAATTTTACGAGGTTCGGCAATGTGCTTACGTCCTCGGTGCCTAGGCGGCGCTAGAAGTTTTATTCAATGATATTTTAGGTCTAGGTTACATCTCTATTTATAATAGAAAACCCTGGTACATAATTACAAAATCAACCCTGTACCGTACCGCGGGGGCTGCGCCCCCACACCCCCAACCCACATAATTCGTAACCCCACAACGAGACTTTTTATGAGCCATACATAACACTATCCATTTCTGATTCTGATACAGAATTACAGATATCTTGTTACCAAGTACTTGAATTGGTTACTTTTTTACATTGTAATATAAACCCCCCTTTTCTTTACCTATGCAGGGCTGGATTTTGGAGTGCAATGGCTTCCAATTTAACAAACCAGTCCCGTAACGTTCTTAGCAGAAAAGTTATGGTTAAGAAAGAGGTAATTTTACTTTTTGATGTCTGTTCTTGGCCACTATGGTTCTAACATTTATTGGCGTATAAATTCTGTCTCCTTGTTTGGTTCACTGCAAAATAATCTCTCTGCACTGATAACCTAATTTTGGAGTTGATTTTTGTATTGGCACATAACAAGCTGTTATTATGTTACAGGACTCGATGGACAACATTAACCTCTCCTCGATTATAACAATTATGTCCTTTTTCTTGCTAGCCCCTGTGGCTATCTTCATAAAGGCATAACATTTACCCCTGCCTACTTGCAATCTGTTGTGAGTATTCTCAGCCAGCTAAGATGCTATAGGTGCCCTGATTTCACTTTTGATAATGTTGTCCAATTCTCCTTGTAATGGACTACACTTTCGTCAAACAGGGTTTAAATGTTAAAGAAGTTGCTGTAAGATCTCTGCTTGCTGCTCTTTCCTTCCATGCCTATCAGCAGGTAAGAACTTTTTCTGTTGATGGTTTTTCGTGATTCTTAAGAATCAAATGCGTGGGTACAATGTCACTTTGTAGAGATTAAGTGATGATCAAATTAAAAATGGGACAAGACTTGAGGTTTCTTAGGTCAAGTTTGGGAGGTTTCTTGTCGAAAATACGGAGGTAAACTTAAATTTGGAAAACAAAATCGATGGATTGAAATATCGTGTGATGTATACAAAAGTTCAAAAAAATTGTATACGTTCAGATAATTTATTTAAATGGGCATTTTTGTTGAAAGTTCAAACAAAGACTCACTGTTCAATCCATATATAAAATCTATGCCTAGATGCCCACTTTGATTAACTTTTTGTATATTATTGAAATTTTCGTTGAATTCTATCGGTCTATTGAGGAACTATATTGAAGTATATGGCTTAAGAGAGATTGAGAAATGATTGATGTAAGAAAGTGCAATGATTATGTTGGATGTCTGAATGTCTATTTTCTTTTCTTTTCTTTTTATTCATTTCTTTTATGAAAGTAATATAATTTTGAGTTATGTCAAATCCTTCCAAATGCAGTCTTAAAATTATTTTTTAGTGCAGTATGCTCAATGCAAAGGTTGTTTGATCTAAAACTATGAAATGCAGGTTTCATATATGATACTGCAAAGGGTATCCCCGGTTACTCATTCTGTGGGCAACTGTGTAAAGCGCGTGGCGGTTATTGTCAGCTCTGTTATTTTCTTTAAGACACCGGTCTCTTATATCAATGCTCTTGGTAAATTTGCATTCTGATAATATGTCATTGAAAATTCTTGCTACTTTGAGTTTTTTTAATGGCGCCTTTATGGTTAGTTAATGGATCTTATTGTGATGATTTTATGCAGGAACCGGAATCGCTCTTGCTGGAGTTTTCCTGTATTCTAGGGTGAAGCGCATAAAGGCAAAGGCAGCATAATAGTTGTTTTGCCTGATATGTTCAAGTTGTTGGGAAATAAACGAGTGTGAATAATTTTTATATAATCAGATTAGTGAGAATACGAAATAAAAGCGGAAAAATAATACCCGGAATTGATAACGGAGTTCAGCTAATTATGCCTACGTCTCTGGACTGCTGCAGATCTTTTACTAAAAGAGAAAAGTTACAGGTGTTTACAAAACACTCACTACTCACAAGAAAACTCTCTAGTATTAGGAGAAAGAAATGATTTGGGATGATTTTGAAACTAAATGAGTTAGGGTATTTATAGCTGAAGCTTAAGGATTAATCTTGTAAATACCTTAAAGTATGTAGGGACTAAAATGTAATTAATCCTATTACATTTTTAATAAAAAATTGGGGCAACGAATTCGATGCCCCTTTATAGAAAAAACCATTGCCATTCGGTGCGCACCCCCTTTGTTAATTTCCATTTCCTTGAGTCGTAATTATTGACTTCCAACAATCTCCCACTTGAAGACTGATTTTAATATGTCTTCACACCTCGATCAATGCAACAGTATTTCTGATTTTGTTACTTTAGCATGCCAACTGAAGCTGAACACAACTTCAGTTTGTCCGTAGTCACCGTCTTTGTTAACATGTCTGACGGATTTTGAGCTCCACTAATCTTTTCAAGTTTCAAAATCCCATCTTCCAAAAGAGACCGGATAAAATGATATCGTAATTGTATGTGCTTCATCCTGGAATGAAAAGACGGATTCTTTGCTAGATGGATAGCACTTTGACTGTCACAATACAAGACATTATTTTCTTGTTTCTTGCCTAACTCTTCCAAGAAACTTTGGAGCTAAACCATCTCATTGCTGGCTTTCGTAACAGCGACATATTCTGCTTCAGTTGTGGAGAGAGCAACTATCTTCTGTAGTTGAGAAACCCAACTCACTGCAGTTCATCCTAGAGTATAGACATACCTTGTAGTGCTTTTTCTGATGTCGACATTTTCGGCTAAGTCAAGATCTACATAGCCTGTCAGTATCGTATCTCCACCTTTGAAACAAAGTGCTTTGTTTGTGGTACCCCGCAGATATCTGAGGATCCATTTGACTGCTTCCCAGTGTACCTTGCCCGGATTATTCATGTACCTGCTAATAACTCTCACTGCTTGAGCAATATCTGGTCTGGTACAAACCATGGCATACATCAGACTTCCAATTGTTGAGGCATACGATACCTTCACCATGTGTGCACGTTCTTCCTTCGTCTTTGGTGACTGTTCTTTGGAGAGTCTAAAATGAACACCTAAAGGTGTACTTACTGGTTTAGCATCTTGCATGTTGAACCTGGAGAGTACCTTGTTGATGTAATCAGCATGTGATAACATCAAAGTCCCCGACTTTGTGTCTATCTTGATCCTCATCCCAAGAATCTGCTTTACAGCGCCCATATCCTTCATAGCAAATTGCTTCGACAATTTTTGCTTTAAGTGTATAATCTCTTGCATGTATGAGCCTGCAACGAGCATGTCATCAACGTACAATAATAAAACAATGAAGCTATTGTCGAACCTCTTGATGTAGCAACAATGATCTACTTGGCATCTGGTAAAACCACTGCTACTCATGAAACTATCGAACTTCTTGTACCACTGTCTAGGAGCTTATTTTAAACCATACAAGCTCTTTTTCAACCTGTATACTTGGTTTTTCTTGCCTATCTCTATGAAGCCTTCTGGTTGCCTCATATAGATTTCCTCCTCCAAATAACCATGAAGAAAAGATGTCTTCACATCTAACTGCTCAAGATGTAGATTCTCTGCAGCTACAATTTTCAACACCAGTCTGATTGTAGACAGTTTTACGACTGGAGAGAAAATTTCATTGTAGTCAATACCTTCTTTTGCTGAAAACCATTGACAACCAATCTTGCTTTGTAGCGTTTTCTCCCATCGTTATCTTCTTTGATCCCGTAAATCCACTTGTTATGGAGCACTTTCTTTCTTGGTGGTAATTCAGCTAATTTCCACGTCTGATTTGACATAAGCAAGTCCATCTCATCTTTCATGGAAGACATCCACTTGACTGAATCCTCCACCTGCATTGCTTCATCATAGCACTTTGGTTCATGTTGAGTTAATCGATCGATGGAATCGACCAAGAGGGGGTGAATTGACAATTAAAATTTTGGTGGAAGCTTTTGCAGAAAATTGAAAGTAATTGCACAGTGATTTAGAGTGGTTCGACTTTCTCAGCCAAAGTCTACGTCCACTACCTTAACTATCCACACTAAGGATTTTCCAACAAATTCACTAATTTGTTCTTTCTTTTGAGGCTAAAGAGATAACCTTACAACTCCCTCAAGAATATACCCCAATTCTTGAGAACACTCTTTCTCAAAGAGAAGATTACAAATTCACAAACTTAATGAAAAGCCTCACATGGAAAATGTGTTTGCTCAACTCTAGAACAAAGAAAAGAACACTAAAAAATGAATACAATTGAGTACAAGTAGTGTTCTTGAAAGAAAAATGAATATTGAATGAAAAATAGGCTTGAAATGCTCAAACTTGAGGTTTGATGCTTTCTCTTTGATTCTCTCTTGATTCTTGTTGATTGCAGTTTCTTGTTATTGATCAATGGCTTCTAAGCTTGTTTAAATACTCCTTCAAATGATTCTGAACGTTGGGGATGCTTAGTGGAGTCAATAGAGTCATTTAAATGTGAAAACAATTAATAAATTCAGTTGGGAGCGTTAGTGCATCGATGCATACCCATGGTGCATCGGTGCATCAATGTAAAATTCAAATATTTTGACTGTTAGACCCTTAGTGCATCGGTGCACTAAGAGTGCATCGATGCATCAAGTGCATTCGATGTTTCAAAATAGCCAGAGTGCATTGATGCATTAAATGCATTCGATGTTTTCATAAAATCCTCAGTGCATCGATGCATGAAATGCATTCAATGTTCAATTTAATTCATGGTGCATAGATGCATGGATTGGTGCATCGGTGCATCACTTTGATAAATTGATTTTAGGCTTGATTTTGGTTCAAAATACTTTGTGAAAATTGTTTCAAAAATAGTTTAAGTATAAAATACAATTTTACACATTTAGTAAGGTTTGAAATTGATCTTGAAAGACTTGGAGTAATATTTTGATATTCGATTAATTAAATCGAATATACTTAGAAAATCATTTGTAAAATCTTAAAATTCATTTAAACTTAATTTGTTATATCGAAACACAAAAATGTTTTCAACAATCTCCCCCTTTTTGATATAACAAAACATTTGTGTTATTTTAAGATTTTCTAAAAATTTGAAATCAATTTTGAAAAATTACTCCCCCTTACTATATAACACTTCTCCCTTTTAACACTTAATATTTCTCCTCCTTTTTTTGTTAAATCAAAAAGACATTAAAATGTTTTAAACAAGGTTTTGAAAAGCATAGCCAATTGATTTTAAATATATATATAGCTTAAGCTACTAAGATCACAATCAAAAGAGAGATTAGCTGTTAGTTCCATAATATAAACAAATGTGAAATGGCATAATTGGTCATAATGAAACTAGTATGTAAATGATGCAAAAATAAAATTAATAAACATTAAGCTTATAATGAAAATTCAAACCAAGTATATATATAATAAGTTAAAAATCCATAAAACATCAAATAAGTTCAAAACATCCAACAACCATCAAATTTAAACATCCAGAAACATCAAAATCAATCCAAGTTTGAAAATCCAAGAAAACATAACAAGGAAACAAATTCACTCCATCAGAGGATCGGGAGGAGGAGGATAATGAGCTCGAACTTCAAGAGTGAACGTGTCCATACGTTCACGCATCTCCCGCTGAAACTCAGGAATCTGAGGCTCCATGGAGGCAAATCTCAGATCAAACGACTCCAAGAAGGATCGAAAATATGGTGGCATTTGATCTTCTTGCCGTGCAGGTTCCGGTCCAGGCTCATCATCTGGAACGTGATCGTCGATATCTTGCATAAGTTGTTGAAACTCAGGATCATCGACAGCAGCTGGTGCCGGAGGAGGAGGAGGAGCACGAGAAGAGCTAGCTCCCGGGGTTTGCTTACCGGGTCAAAATACCCAAAGACCGGTTTCCTCGTCTTGTTTCCAATCTGCTTTCTTCAAGGAAGTAAGATTGATTTGGTTTTAAAGTGGGATAGGATTGTCGAGAGAGATGTCTAGACCGAGTTTGATAAATAGGTTACTCATAAGACATCCATAAATCAATGTTTCGACATGTTTTGAAGGAACAATGTTTATGATGTCCACTAGTTAACTAAAAATAATGTGGGGCTGATTTATTTTGATCTTATTTTTAATACAGTGCATCCACCATAAATCCCTAGCACGAAGAGTGGAGTACCTACCTCCGAATAGTCTAAACCACCAAGAGATCATCAAATGAAGAAAACGATCGTGATGAGATCGTAGAGTACTAACACTAGAATTTGGAACATAAGGATATTCCACATTTTCAGTCTCATTATATGACCCATCATCATCTAACCTAAAACGGAAAGCTATAGTCTCGGGGTCAATATTAATATATTGGCCTAAAAGATAGGATCTAATGGCTATAGTCCCACATTGAGTTTCGTTTTGAATACATACCATATTGGAATAGAAAATGCGGACTAACTGTTGATAAACGATAGGTTTGAGCTGAAACATTTTATCAAACTTTCAAGCTTTAAGAATCGGAAGGTATTCAAAGTCAATATCTATCATAGCTTGAAGAGAAGGAATACGCTCTTCCCGGATTCTATAAGATTAAAAAGAATTTCTGTACCTAGAGTATAATTCGTCTCTACGATGCTCAGGCATGTTAAAACAAGATCCTAATAGAGATGAAGGTGGAGGAGGAACGGGATTAGGAAGTTGGTTTGAACGAGAATGACTCGATGAAGTTCTATGGCTTTTGGGATTAGACATGATTTAGGAATTGGAAAAAAGAATATAACCTGCAAATTGAAACAC